CGCAGCCGTGCTCCTTCACCACCTGACAAGGCGTGGCGCTGCTGCATCGTACGGCGTGCGGCGCTGAAGCGGCTGACGACGCCGCGGACGCTGCTACAGCGATCGACAATTCTACTGTCATGCAGAAATGGAGATTTTGAACTACAGCCCCGCTCGCTTGCTTGCTGGCGCTCTGTTGTTCGAGGCTCCCCTTCCCTTCTCTGTTATGCGGATCGCGACTTCGTTCGTTTGTCTACAGTAAGATGCTGTTTGATTATGCACGCGACTTATGATTTCACAAAGTGCTACTACTACATGCTAAAGATGCTACTCTACATACAAACATGCTACTCAAATTCTGCTCTCGTAACGTCAGTGTACCAGCGAGCGGTAGGAGCGGGACTATCCGTCAAATGTTTGGCGAGATCTGAAGCATCAGTGAACTAGCGAACAATAGGAGCGAGAACATCCACCAGATGCTCTACGAGATCCGAAGCATCGCATCGGCACGAATGATCACGTTTAATCTATCGAGGCTACACACACACACACACACACACACACACACACACACACACATATATATATATATATATATATATATATATATATATATATATATATCACATGAAATGCCCCGTGCGCCACATTTTAAGAAAAGCGCGAGTGACGATCGTCCTGCAAAAATACTTTGCCTCCCGAATTTGTTGAAAGATGTGGAGACCACGTCTTCAAACAGGTTTTCTTGAATTTCAGCTTTATGACAATGATGTTGCGTGAGGTTTGTTTAACTGTTAATACACGGTTTAAGACGAATCCTGCCGATTTCGTTCGTCGGCTGCGATCATCGGCCGGTTCCGCTGTTTCTGACCGGTGGGACATGCCCCCCCCCCCCACACTTATGCCTTATGTACCCCCAATTTGTGAAAAATTGGGCTTTGTCTCGTCCGGTTTTGCCAACATTCAAAAAAGCGTTCTGAGGCTCAGCGCCTGTTTCACTCGCCTCGTAGAGGTTTCTTCGGATGGCTGAGGGCTGTAATTGGTTAGGAAGCAGAGAACGAGGATTTTTTAAACCATGGAAGCTTTTGAACAACAGCTTTATTCTTTCACGGAAAGCGTAGTATTTTTCGCTTGACAGAAGTATGGAAGTGTACTCACCTGACGCACCAATATCTTGTTTGGCGACAGCACACATCTTCCCTTTTTGCATGACCCCTGCGGCGATATTTTATCAAATGCAGGCGAGTGGCCTAAATCAGGAGCCACGGGAGCTTTAGAAGTTATGATAATCTTTCGCAAAGCGTGGAAGCATTTACATTCGCCAGCGGTATGTGAGCGTAACCAGCTGACACCGTGACGCGGTCTTTGGCTGATGATGCTGATATTGTTGGCACGACCCTTATACATCCCATTAGTAAAAGCTGGAGGGCGACCCGAGCGTAGTGGTCAAAATAGTTGTTTTTTCTGTGAAAATTTGTATTGTCGTGTGGGAAGGGTATGACCTTGAGCATCTGAAAGGACGGTGGGAGGGCAATCAGCTGATGCCGTATCAGCCTTTTCGGCCGATTGCCCATATTTGACCGGTGTGAACAGATAAGGTCACATCAATGGTGGAGGAGGCCGACGAAGGCGGAATGGCAAAACGATGGCATCCATAAATTATGCTGATGGACCGCTCGATAGTGCATTGCTGAACGCGGTTTACCATTCGGGCGATTGTGGATAAATTGCGGAAGATATTCAAAAAAAGTTTATCGCGAACGGACGGTGCGACCGTGCGCACTCAGCAGAATGGCTGGCTTGCGGTCATTACCCCTAACTGGACCGTCAGGCGTCACGTGGTTTGCGCTCCTGTTCAGTGAGTTTTGGAATTGGATTGCTCCCAAGAGAGCAATCGCATTTGTTTCCTGCTGCCAGAAAACGCTCGTCGTTTTTCCCCTTTACTCCACTCGCCTAGCCCCGGAGGTTACCGTTGCTTTTTTGGCAGGTCTGATATTTAGTTCGTCCAGTTTTTGTCGGCATATTTCATAAAACATCCGTTGTTCCCAATCCGTAACCTACTAGCTGATTGTCTTGCGTCTATAGGTCACGTGCTATCTTTTTACTACGCTTATGACGCGCTTGCTGCCGAGCAGCATTCCTACTACCACATCAAGACTCATTTCCCTGTTGAAAATACCTAGACCATTTTCTTGTACGCACTACTTACTCGGTTGCCAAATCTGCAAACTCCGCCTGCCAACAGTTCATCGCTGAGTCTGAGAAGCTCGGGTCTCGTCGGCGCGTGGCTGATGTGACAGCGGCCGCAATGATACTATAATCACTTCTAACGTCCGCATTCATGCTGGCATATGCGTTAAAGTTATATAATAGTGCCTCGCTGACAAACGCATGATCTATATGTGGTTGCTCTGGTGGGTCTCATTGCTGCTATGTATATGCCCTTGTAGAAGGGTTTCAATTTTTCCACACATGATTAAGAAAAAACGGTTAATAATATTCGAGTCAGTTACTTCTAACTAAAACATGCTATATTTGAGTTCCGCGTGTTTGGTCCTAAATGGACTTTGCAGCCTCGGGGTATGAGTGCGTTTAGTTGGGGAAGAGTACAAGCACATCTTGAACCCCACGCAAAAATATAACTTTTTGTTCTTGGACACCAACCACTGTCTCATAAACATCAAAAATATCAAACCCAACAGAGGAAAGGTCATCTGGCGTCTGCCTTAAGCCCACAGAAGGCCGTGGTTTGACTCGATCCTCGGAGAGGGCCGTCGTTTGACTCGATCCGTGGAGATGACCGTCGTTTGAGTCTATCTTCGGAGAATGTCGGCGATTGATTACATCCTCAGCGAGGCCGTACGCAGGTGGTACGGTACCACCACAGGAAACCGTCGTGTTACACGGTCTCGGCAGAATGCCACTATGCCACCCGGTCTCGGCAGGAGACCGCCGTGTTACCCAGTCTCGGGCAAGAGACCACCGTGTTACCAGGTCTCGGAAGGAGACCGTCGTGATACCCGGTCTCGAAAGAAGACTGCCGTGTTACCCGCTCTCGGAAGCAGACCACCGTGTTACCAGGTCTCGGCAGAAGGCCGTCGTGTTACCGGGTCTCCGCGGAAGGCCGTCATGTTACCCGGTCTCGGCATAAGGCCGCCGTGTTGCCCGGTCTTCGCAGAAGGCCGTCATGTTATCCGGTCTCGGCAGGAAACCGTCGTATTACCCGGTCTCGGAAGGAGACCGTCGTTTCACCTGGTCTCGGCAGGAGACTGTCGCGTTACCCGGTATCGGCAGGAGACCGCCGTGTCACCCCGTCTCGGCAGTAGATCGCCGTGTTACCCGGTCTCGGCAGCAGACCGCCGTGCTACCCGGTCTCGGCAGGAGACCGTTGTGTTATCAGATCTCGGCAAGAGGCCGCGGTTGGACTCAGCTGCAACAGAAGACTAGCGTTTAGCACTGTCCCCACAGGCGCCACAGAAGGTAATTGTTTTCTCTCATCTCCACAGACGACTGATGCAGATCCCTGATGTTGGGAAGACAGACTTCCAAAAAGCTTCACTCCATTCACATTCCCGACGGAAGGACGGAGGGGTCACCCGCCCCAGACGCCGCTCAGGCACAGGAGCTGTCCGCTCGCACGGTGAGCCGCGGCGCAGCGGCCCACCGCAGCTCGACGTACGGCTCATAGTCGGCCAAGTCCCAAAACAGACGGCTTATGCAGTACACTCCACCATCACAAGCAGCACAGTCGGCACCACCATCGCAAACGGTACAGTCCGCTCCACCATCACGAGCAGTAGTTTGCAGTACACTCCACCATCACAAGCAGCACAGTCGGCACCACCATCACGAACGGTACAGTCCGCTCCACCGTCACCAGCAATACAGTTCGCTCCGCGTCATCATGAGCAGTACAGTCCGCTCCTCCATCACGAGCAGTAGTCTGCAGTACACTCCACCATCCCAACCAGCGCAGTCGGCACCACCATCACAAGCAGCACAGTCGGCACCACCATCACAAACGGTACGGTCCGCTCCACCATCACCAGCAGTGCAGTTCGCTCCGCGCCATCATGAGCAGTACAGTCCGCTCCACCATCACAAGCAGTAGTCTGCAGTACGCTCCTCCATCACAAGCAGCGCAGTCGGCTCCACCATCGCAAACTGTACAGTCCGCTCCAACATTACAAGCAGGAGAATCGGCTGCACCATCATCGCGGAACCACAATAGACTTTGTCTTCATCAGAGCGGCACCGGTGATCAGAGCAGCACCGGGCCGTCCTCGGCCCTCAGAGCGACACCGGGCCGTCCTCAGTAACGAGAGCGACACCGGGCCGTCCTCGGTCCCCAAGGGCGGCAACGGGCCATCCTTGGTAACCAGAGCGACACCGGGCCGTCCTTGGTAACCAGAGCGACACCGGACCATCCATGGTAACCAGAGCGACACCGGGCCATCTTTGGTGAACAGAGCGACACCGGGCCATCCTTGGTAACCAGAGCAGCACCGGACCGTCCGTGGTCCCCAGAGCGGCCCTGGGCCGTCCTTGGTCCCCCAGAGCGGCGCCAGGCCGACCTTGGTCCCCAGAGCGACGCAGAGCCATCCTTGGTAACCAGAGCAGCACCGGGCCATCCTTGGTAACCAGAGCGACACCGCACCATCCATGGTAACCAGAGCGACACCGGGCCATCCTTGGTGACCAGACCGACACCAAGCCATCCTTGGTAACCAGAGCAGCACCGGACCGTCCGTGGTCCCCAGAGCGGCGCCGGGCCGTCCTTGGTCCCCAGAACGGCGCAGGGCCGTCCTTGGTCCACAGAGCGACACCGGGCCGTTCTTGGTAACCAGAGCAGCTCCGGGCCGTCCTTGGTAATAAGAGCAGCACCGGGCCGTCCTCGGTACCCAGAGCGGCGCAGGGCCGTCCTTGGTCCCCAGGGCAGCACCGGACCGTTCTCGGTCCCCAGAGCGAGATCGGGCCGTCCTCGGTCCCCAGAGCAGCACCGGGCCGTCCTTGGTAACTGCTCAGAGCGGCGCAGGGCCGGCCGGGGCGTCCAGCTCCGTGTTGCGGCGCACCTCGTCGGCCGGCAGCCGGTGCACGTCGCGCAGGTGGCGGCGAAGGCTGCGCACCGTGCTGTACACGGCACCGCAGACGTGGCAGGCGGTCCGTCCCAGATGGTGGAGCCGATGGTCGGTCAGAGAGTCGCGCCGCCGGTAAACGTGACCGCACAGGTCACACTGGTACCGGCACCGCTCGCCCTCTGGAACAGCGGACAGGCCGGCCGACTGAGCCGCCGCTCAAGGCCGCTCAGAGTCGCTCAGAGCCGCTCAGAGCCGCCGCTCAGAGCTGCCGCTCAAGGCCGCTCAGAGCTGTGGCGAGCGTGCACGGACATGCGATGAGGGGCTGGGCCGATGGGTGAGGTTCTGGGCCTGCTCGGAGACAGAGACGCACTATGAGCTCCCGGAAAACATGACAAACAGGAACCAAGTACGAAATGTCACAGCGTGCAGTTAGCATGCAGCTGCGACTTACCAAGCAACACGCCGTGGTACGGCCAGTTCTGAGACCACATCAGGGGTCCTTGGACTTGTGACAGGTGCTGGCCGGCTGTGTTGCCTGCATGCACGGAACTGCCTAGCTTTGCTTGAAGCGACAGTGACGAGCCCTGCAGGCGGATCGTGGCCTACACAGAGGGACAAATCTTGCACGAGCTTTGTCTGAGCTGCACTTGGCAAGGACTGACCGCAAATCCATCACGTTATACAGTCGGTCAAAGGTATGCGAAAGGGGAAAACGATCCCGTGTGGGCTGCTTCAAATAAACACCGCCGACCAAAGGCAGATGCCACGCAAGGGCGTAATGGCCGAGTCGTTTGCGCATGGGACTCCCAGGTGAGGGTCCGGGTTCGAATCCCGGTCGGGCCATGACCGCTGAGAGCTGATGTGACTAATGCAGTGGCTGGCGCATCACAAAAGCGGTCTGAAAGCGTGCTTCGCGGTCCATTTAAAAACAAAACACAATGCGGGTTGCCTACGGCGAGGTCGAAAAGTCTGAATGTTTGCATGGACTGTTCGAATAATCTACAGCCCAGTTCTGATTCGGTGAGCACCTAAGTTCGCCAGACGGCGCAGTAGGACCGAAACCGAACACAAACGGTTTCTTCTTAAAACGGCCTGGACCCACCGAAAGAAACCTTCGGTGAGCCTATTATGCAGATACCTGCACATACTCTCCTGGTTATTCTGGTGCCTTCGTTTTAAGTCTCCTACTCACGCCGCAATAATTCAGCTCAGATTTGCTCCTACTGTGATCGCAAAAGCATGCCAACCCCACGTCGCGTATCTTCCATTATGGCGGAGTTATAAACGACAGCGCCACGACCAAGGACAAGCGTAGCAGTGCTATCATTTGAGGTTTTCGTGCTTTAGGTGACCAAATGTATTTAGGAATCGGAATTGTTCCGGCGTAAAAAAAACTAACTAAAGGCTCGTAGTACGCTCAATTCCATTGCATGGTGATAAATGACCGAAAGTGGACTGTGAGCTTGTGTTTTCATCACAGGTGATAATCGCTCTGCGCGAGGGCGGTACTGCATCAAATCTATTGGACAGCCGAGAGACGCATGTTCAAAAAACGCGGTCTTTTACCGATCGCAGTGATATTACTCGATATCTGCGAGAAAGGCTCTCAGCTTCTAGTTTTGGCATTATGACTTAGAGTTCTTGGTCTGAGTAATCGACCTTCGATATACCAGGATACACTGGCTAAACGACGTTATGGCACTCGCATTAGTTACAAACTCGAAGCTCAGCATTGACAATACAACAAATGTATGTGTAAGTAGTATGTCACAGCATTGACAACATTAGCAATGTTTGCCTTATTACGTTGTGCAATCAGTATTTTAAAGGTCGAGATAATTTCAGCATCACGTATACATCGTATGATATAAATAATACAACAGCATATCATATCGATGAGTCAGAGATAACCCTGAACTCACATTGCAGTGCTTTCAGCAAGTTTTGAGGGAAGCCTGCGGCAGTGGCCGGGGGACTGCCGCACGCCATGTTTGGGGCGATGGCCCTATCTGCTGTCTCCTCCTCCGCCGCGGCAGGACCCGCGATGACGCCACTACCGACACATTCACGTTCCCAGCCATGGATGAGCTGATTAGCAATGGCTTAGTGTCGTCGGTATCGCTGACACGGCTTGCTCGTCATCTGGCGTCAACTTTTTACGATAATCTATCGATATCCGATCATCTTATTTCTGGTATTGATTTCCTATAATCCATAAAAGTAAGTACAGGTAAACGAGTCCGACGCCTCGTCTCGCATTTAACGAGTGGGAGATAAACGTCATTAGTGTGTGTCATCAGTTCTGAGATCAGATAGTAGTAATACCTTATTCCTCGGAGAAAACCAGGAGAATGGAGATATAGTTGCGTTAATATTTCGCCAATATGCTTTTATCGAAAAACAGTAGCAGAAGAGATCGGTCGACTTGAGCCAGCTCCGCGGACGCATGCAAAACTACTTTAAGACAGCGTAAACGTGATTTGACCAGGTTAGACACAACGTGTGTGTATGTTACAGCTAGGTGACAAAGCCGGGAGCTGGCACATTAACTAATCGACTTGCGAGCTCCCAGACCTACCGGGGTGTTCACAAATTCCCGGCGCTTGCAAACTCCCTGAGTGGCGGGGCATTTCCAAACATCACAGGCAGCTTAAACACTTTTAGAAAGTTGGTGCGAATTTCCCTGGATCTGTGCAAAAGCGGACTTTAATTTTACTGAGTACTAGAATAACACCAACTCGTCATGCATTCGGGAAGGGGAAACAGCAGACATCTCTTCCTCTAACGCATTACATCGCGCACCGCCTACATGTTCGTCACTCGCTGTTTGCTGCCGTGCCACCACATCTGAGGTGGACGCTGTGTCATGTTGCACACATTAAATACTTTACCTTCACCCAAGGAATGCAATATTCATGCCTTTCTTGGGGCCTTGCGAGGCAGTTTTGTGGTTTTACTGAAACCACGCAGTCTGCCTATGTCGCTCAAATAAGGGGCTTTTGAGAATGATTCAAAACTTGCAACCTAAGCTTGACGTTCAACATTATAGAGCTGCCTATATTCCCTTGGATAATAGTCCAGCCTAAAGGCAAGGTCAGCTGACAGGAAGGTGCGGCGCATTGGGCGTCATGCGCTGAGAATGGCCAAAGCCTGGTCCACGATAGATCTGCCAACGATGGACACAAGAAATTACCTTTATGGCCGTCTTGCACTGAAGAGTCAGCGCTGTTATCAGTTTGTCAAGGATGTCTGAGGTAAATGATGTTCTGTGTGTTTCGATGCAATGAGTTACATTACAGCAGTTCAAACGGATCAGCAATGATTGTGATCGTTGTAGGGCATATTCAAGCTGAAGAAGATGATGATGATGATGGTGACGGTGATAGCTAAGGATGATGGGCTGTGATAGCTGCTGGCATAATATACATTTCGATGGGGAAACGCTTGTGCCTAACTAGACACTGAACAACAAATGGCACTAGGATACATACCTATGAGACAGCATTGACAGCCATATTCCTCGTAAAATAAACAGGAGAGTGGAGAGATAGGCATGATATTTCGGCTACATGGCTTTATCGAAACGAATATCAGTAGGAAATTTGCTACTGATGTACAGACCGCAGGATTTCTATCGTCTGCACGGTTATCGCAAAAATCTGTGCATGGTGTACAACCACAAACATTTTTGACCTTATCAGTCTTACATGTCTATCTCGTAAATGGCAACATTTATGCACATGCATATTGGAGTCTAAAACATAATTTATATCAGGGGGAACAGAAGCCCTCCATGCACACTCCTTAATACATCATTGGCTACTACCACTTCAGTGTGATGCAAAATTAAATTCTGTGTTTACATGTAACCTAGGGATGTCGCGGACTCCCTACAAAGGAGCCTGAAAACTTCTTAGATGTTTGCGAAGTCCCTGGCGAACTAACTAGCTTGCAAACTCCCTACGGCAATCCACGAGCGCCCTGGCATGCCAGGAAATTTTCTAGTTCTCCGGACAGTTTCCTATTCCCCAATACCTGTAATGCAACATATGTAACCGCATGTGATCCATTAGATAACTTAAAGATTATGAAAGGGATAGACAAGGTACACCTACAGGGCACTGGAGAGTAGGCCGAGACTTAGAGGAAACTAGCCTCAATTAGCAAAAGGTAGGAATAGAGATGAAAAGTAGGAGTAGAGATGAAGATGAACTGTGAAGAGGCAGATGTCACTTAATCAAAGAACAGCGTATCACTGGAATTGACTGCAACACGAAGTTGTAGAAAGTCCCTCTTTTAGCATTATCAAATCACTGGGACAAGTTCTATCGGTCCAAAGATATCATTTAAAGCTAAATTCAGGCAGGTCAGGTGGTGAGATGAGCGTCGAGAATGTGTACAAAGCCTAGGGCAGGCCAACCTCGCTGGGCCCTTGTGGCTCTTTGTTGGCCTGCCATTTCGTCTTTATCTTTAAAATACTGGTTTGAAGATCCCGTATCGGCTCCAGCACTTGCCTTCATTTGTTCATCGGGCTTGGAATCAGGATGGGGACGTAGTATACCGCCCAACGTCACCAAGCTGCCCAAGTTGCAGAGAGGGTTACGACCGACGCAAGCACGGTCCTTCGTGATCAGCAAACGTCGCAGCTCATTCAAACCCAGCCAGGTACTCCTCAGAAGCGCCAGTTTAAAAAACATTGCCCTCGCCATTATATTCTCAGCTTTTCATCATTTATACAAAGTTCTGAAAACGAGTGCCACGGCATTGGAAATCGCAGTTTCACCGGACACAACGCTCCACGGCAACCACACATGCGCAGTACAGTCGATGAAGCCCAACCACGGAACACCACATCACCGAGGCGATTCGCGCAGGATGGGCAAGCCCAAATGAGTACAGTCCATCCGAAATGAGTGTCTGATGGAGATACAGTGAAATAATAGACGGTGTTTGTTGGTTGACGAAAAAGTTGGCCAGAAAATGTAACCGCCCGTCATAGCGTGAAAAACGCGGCCGCTGCTGGTCACATGCCATGAAAAACGCGTGTATCATCGGACGCACTGGTGGCGCACTTCACAATACATGCCCAACGAAGGAACCTAATAGGCTGACGCCCAAAACGGCATCATTCCAGCGAGGTGAAACTATTGTAGACAGCAGCACACTGGTGGCAACACCCTTAAAGCACGTAATTAAGCCTGCTGACCGGAACCAAGCGCCGTATCTCTTCCTGGGACAGTTTGTGTGAGTTCTCCAGGTGTCTGCGCAGGTTGGCCACCTTGCTGGAGACCTTGCCACAGATGACGCACGTCGTCAGGCCTTCATGAACCTTCTTGTGCAGCGCCAGGGAGCTCACGTGGAAGTACTTGCGACCGCAGACATCGCAGAACAGCGGCCCTGCGGAGGACGAGCGGTGATGACAGACGACGAGAGGAGGCGGCGGTGATGACAGACGCCGAGGGGAGGCGGCGGTGATGACAGACGCCGAGAGGAGGCGCCGCCCTGGCACGGAGCGCCTGGTGGCTTTTTAGGAACGCTTCGCACGCCGTCTGGCGCGCTTTTTAGTCCTTTTCTTCCCTATGTACTGCCAGCGACTGCAGAGGTCATATTGGCACCTACAGGACGTGACTCTATTGGAATTGTGACCCAGGTCGTCACGTGGGAGCCGCTAACCAGCCGGCCATTACGCCCGTGGAGTGACTGCTGTTGGATATGGGATCGGAGACGGCACAGCAGGAGGAGCACGCACGTCACCGGCGTCAATCGGTACGCTGACCAGTGACGTCACAGCCCAGCGCAGGCGTGCCGGCAGTCAGCCACAGGATTCGCCAATGCCGCTGAATTGGACCGCAGCTAGCAGGCTTCAGTGGTTTAGCTGCCGTCGGTAGCGCACGAGGTGCGCAACGATGATTCGTGTGTGTGTCATTGCGGCTTGTCAAGACGCATTCAGTTGCTCAGGCTATATGGCGTCGCCTGCCTCTCACCCTGGCAGGAGGAGCGGGAACCGCGGGGAATCGAACCTCACACCTCTGGTTTCCCAGACACGCTGTGGTTAACTCAGACGCGTTAACCACACTACCGGCACCCCCTCAATGATGATTCCAGATCTGATTAAGCGGAACAAACTACACTGCAAAAACGCGATTTAGCCCCGCATGTCTTCTGGAACATTTGTACGATAAGGTTAAGCGGTCTCTTGTTCAATTCTAAGTGGCCTCGCACCCGTTTCGACAGTCACTTCCACTTACGAAATGACATGGTACGATGACTCTCATCAAAGGTAGATGCAGAAGCCCATGGCAGATGCCCAAAGGCAGGTGCAAATGCGCACAAGACTGGACAAGACTGCGTACAAACCTACACCACTGGATCAAAGGCAGCTGACGAAAACTCCGCAAGGAGCCTCATGGCGCGGGAATCACGAGCAACAGAGCTCGTAATGATATCCGTTACGTAAAGGGATCATCGTTCTCTCCATGAAGAAAAGACGCTTGGCTCTGGTTTAGGTGATGCTCCGGCACACCACTTGTCTCTTGTCACGGAATTATCTTACTCAAGTCACGTGATATTATTTCAAAAAGTGCTTGCGGGGCTGTTATCGATAACTGTTGTCGATTGCTATATAGGCTCATAGTTAACATGCTATGCATTGCCTGACGTGAGTTCCGAGATTAACCCGGTCACTCAGACATAAAATGGCATTAAAGAAGGGTACAGGCCTTGACAACATTACAAAATAATCACATAACACTCTCATGGCCACTACGCGTCAGGATGTCACACGCAAAGAAATACAAATGGGTTACAAATCACAGATTTTTCAAACTTACGCCGCGCAGAGATATGAAGAGCAAGATGATAAGTAAGTGATTTAGAGTGCGAATAAGTTGAAACCTGTCGTGCACGTGCAAAAAAGCTTAAAACTTAACTCGCACCAGTCCGTTACGGTTCACTGAATGGTTCCGCAGCTTTTCACGAGTGATACTTGGGAGTGTTAGGACAAAGTGACGTCAAAGGTCATTCACGTCCAATATCGCTGACAAACGGGGGGCAGGCAAAACAGTACTGTGTACAGGCGGGATTTTTATTGATCACACGTCAGATCAGGCCCGGTTGCTGTGCCGTCGAAAAACCCGCCAACTCATGACACAGTTGTGCGATCACACACACACACACACACGCACACGCACACGCACACGCACACGCACACGCACACACGCACGCACGCACGCACGCACACACACACACACACACACACACACACACACATAGATATATATATATATATATATATATATATATATATATATATATATATATATATATATATATCGGTTCGTGTGCATATTACATCGCGCGCATTAAAACCGCCTGACTGCTATGATGTTTGCTACGGCCAACACAATTTATTCTGTGATTTATCAGTGGAAGTGGACCAGTAAGCCGACATGAATATTAAACTACCTAGTGGGTTTATGGGTGCTGCAGACCTGATCTAACACGGGGCTCCAAACGCACATGAAATATGAAGGAATTCATGCCTAAATCACAATATTGGATCATCTTTAATCACGCTGTAACAAAACCCAGTTGAATCGTTAACACATTTGATGCCTGTATTGATCATTCACTGGAAAAGCGTAAGGCCAAAGGCACCAGCTTAAGGCGAGTGCGCAGGTTCGTCCATGGGAACTGGATTACAGCGCACAAAGGGAACAGTTAACACGCGCATAACGCAGCAGCGGGACCCCAGGAGCACCAACAATCAGACATGTGTCTGAAGCTAGAAACAGATTCCAGGATACATATACACGAAACTTTATGACATCCGGGACCTACCCTTGAGACCCAAAGACATGTCTGCCAACAATTTAATTAAAATAACTCAGATTGCTCACACTAACGTGCCAAAGTTGAAGTCATTGGGTAAAAGTAACGTCCGATGAGTCGGCTTTTCAGCTCTTACACTCGGTCTTTGCCCTTGACATAACGTTTGCCTGGCGCGATGCGCTTGGTAAAAGTGGTCGGTAGTATTCCTCATATTTTTTATTATTATTCCAGAACCAATGGAAGTCAACGAAACCACTACGCTGATAACTCATGAAGTAATTGATGATAACGGACAATGAAGCGAGTTATAACCATAAACAAGTTACGTCCATGTAAATATCGGTAAAACTTAATTCCTTGTGATGTGGAAATCTCGTACAAGCCATTTAACTCTTCGAACCCAGCTTTCACACAGGCTGCCATGACCGGGGTAAGACGGTAGTCTACCCGGTTACCGATTACGATTCGGAACGATACTAGCTATGTCTTCCTTGGATAGCTTGTGCACTGTGCGAAGATGCACTCGCAAGTCGAACACTCTGTTTTGCACTTTGCCGCAGATGACACACGTTGTCAGTACCCTGGTGCACTTTTTTGTGGAGCTTCAAAGAGCCGGTGTGGGAGAACATTCTGCCGCACAGATCGCAGGAGACGGAACCTGCGAAGCACAGACCGCAATGAGTGGTTCGGAAGCTAAACTCTGTAAAACAATGAATTTATCCACATTCGAAAAATAGATGATCAGAAATCGCATGACGGGCTTGACTGTGGTCGGGTATTACTGGAGCCTGGAATCAGACAGCGTTTTTCGCCACGAAGCCGACACATTCAGTAATAGTGTCAAAGACCCGCCAACAGCTTGTTGAGGTGCGGAAATGGCTGCTGTTACGGCCGTTACTGCAGCGAAATTACTGCTGACATCCACAGGTGGCATGTGTCTAAGAATTAAACTACGTGTGCCAAGTTATGTTTCCCAATGAGCTTGCCCTGTTACATCAGGTAGGATCATTCGACGTTGCTGTCAAGGCTTCTGAGGCAATGTCGCGAAAGAAGCGGATGAGGCCGCAAATGTGTCCCGACACGATGAATCTCTCGACTTAACAAAGCTCTTTCAACACTATGAGATGAGTGCCTTCATTTTCCAATGGAGGCCATCTTTGCAATCGCATTCTTTCAATTGCTCCTTCCTTCTGGTTCTCCTGTCTGCTGTAGAACTGATTCACATATCTCTAGATACCGAGTTCCATGTTTATTACGGCAACACAATATAAAAATGAAAACAAACCACCATCCACCACGGCATACAAACATGGGGACACCAAAGACATGTCTGGGTGACAAGTTTTTCTCCACACGTCCGGACAATTTTTGACAAAATACTTTGGTGTGGCAATGAAACGCATTAAAATCACCAACGTCCCCATCAGTCGGCAACTGCCGGAGAACTCCGTGAACGCAACCAACACCGCCCGGCAGACGTACACCAGGGAACTGACAACAGGGGAAACACCATACAATACACTGGAAACAAACCACCAGAAACAGTATGTATTGAGCTTCGAGCCAAATGATTTCCACAGATTGAACATTCGGTCTTCAGAGAATCATACGGACAAAGATCACTGCTAGGCTTGCACGTATATGTTAGTCGCGGGATGGGACGTTGGCGTATGGTGATCGCGTCTCTGCGCGCTTTGCATACGCGGTGCTTTGTGCCGAGGCATGTGCAGGTAGTGTCCATGAACGTCTCGCATACACATTTTCCAAACTTTCACCAAACGATCGTAACAAGATGACGGGCAAGGTTGTGGCGCCATTAAGTCTCAACGTTTGCGATGTGGAACAATTTTCTTGACGTCGTCTTTTGACAGCCGATGAACCTGGCGCAGATGCGCCCTCAAATCGGCCACTTTGTTGAGCACCTTTCCACAGAGCGCACACGTCGTCAAGCCCTCGTGCACTTTCTTGTGCAGCCCCAGAGACACGGCGTGCGCGTAGAACCGGCCACACACGTCGCAGGCGAACGCACCTGGGGAAGGTGGAGCGTCAGGTGACTGGAGCGTTCAACACTGGCGTGTTACTTGCATGGCAGCAGCCCCGCCCCGGCAGGTGATCATCTGAACAGCATGCTTCCACGCATGTCCAGCTGAAACGACTACCAGCCATGTTCACCTGACACAAGCAGTTCCTCACAGCCAAGCGCTCTAAAAACCTAGGCAGACCGTTGAGTAGACCGTTGAGTTTGATGTAGCTTTCAAGGGACTTCCAGATAAGTATGGAGTTCTGAACTGACACACTATTTTCAAGACCGCTGTCTGCCGTTCACAGCCATGTCCTATTTCAGACTTCAAACTCCTTGCTTCTAAGCTTGACGCATGCGAACCTGTGCAACCTATTTCGCGCCGCCTATCTGAAAGTTATTCAACACGTACGACGCCACAGCAGCGTCGCGCGAGTGTCCCCACCTCGCTGGTTGAATTATGTCCATAGTAAAAATAAGCCCACCAAAAGAGTCCTTTTTGCAGTCATTCAGCTCCAGTGTACCAACGATGGCAGCAATTGGCCAGCATGAATATTTAGCTGCCGATCGCATGTATCGATTACGAACCGCGTTTTGTGAGAAATAACGCAGGCATTCAGGCAGAAGCACTGGTTATGACGAGCATGAAGCTGGAATCGAGAGTTTAAGGAAAGCGTCGTAGCCGAAAATTCAAATGTAGGTCATGAAGAGACCATCACGGGAAAATATACAAGTACACCACGAGGCATGGTAAAAAAACAAACACACGTTCATATCACGCAAAAACGAAAAATGTATGCGTCTTGAACAACGCCACCCTGCAGCGCGAAGAAGCACGAGTAAGTCGGACAACGACTCTTACGGCATAAAACGTCCCACGACGTAATCAAACGATGACGTATTGAAAAGCATGCTTACTAAAGACTAAAATTGTGTTGTTTAGAGCACCTTTTGCACTTAAAAGCATACCAATAGCCCAAGTGTGCTTTTTCAATACATGTGATGCTTGCCCCAATATCTTCAAATGTGGAACGGTCCATTTAAGTGCCAGGTGTTCTCACGGGACAATCTGTCCACTCACCTTTCCACATATGTCACAACAAAGCGCCGCGCTACTGACTGTGTATCCAGGATTCGTACACCTTTCCCATGGCTCTTTCTACACGCATTACAGGCGGGTGTTGACACATCAGCTGAGTCGTTGGTACTGGAACCACGCCTAGAGCGCACCGGACCAGGGATGTTCGGAAGCGATATTGCCAGTGAACTGAGCATAAGCACACGCCCTGGTCACCAGATCGCCCCTCCGCAGGCTGGCATAAAGATACCAGCACAGCTGACGCTGATGTAGATCAGCGCTACGGCAAATATCCGACGAAATGCGCAGAGCTGGATGGCGATAAATGGAATCAGTAAGACTGAAAGGACGCCACGTCCAGTAGACTGTCAAAGGTGGTCATGCACTTCACCATCACTAAAAGGAGATAATCATTCGCCATCTCAGAACGCGAAGACTTGATTTACGCGTCACCATGGACTTCTCTTTTCCGCACTTCTTCTTCGAATGATCTTATCACCTAACGAAGATTGACTGCCATGTTTCGCTACTTTTAACCATTTTCTGAACCATTACACAACCTTTGAACAGTGCGTTTAAGGACACAGGAGGGAAAACGGAACATTAACGCGCATGAGCTAAAATGTACATATAACCAAGAACTGAACTAGTGCTATGTGAGAACGCCATTCACCAGTCACGCACGAACAAACCATTCAACACTTACAATAAGCGGGACAAGCACATGCCAGGGAATACCATTCCCTGTCTCCGAAAGCGTAGATTCTGGCATGATGCCATATACTTCAGTCGTATAGAAGAAGCCAACTGTCTTGTCGGAATTTATTTTAAAAGTCTATATCCACAGTCGTCGAAGACACAGCCGCAACTAGTCGCAGCTTAATACTTAAGTTGTTTGGGACGCGGCGCCACATCAGGAAGTCATGATGAGCACAATAACTCAGACCACATATACTCAGCTAACAGGCGAGTGGGACTGGTTTCGTCTCCTTGCAGACATGCGATAACGCCTTTTGTGATAATCAAACATGCTTGGCGATGATTCTCAGTCAGACTGTGTTCACGTGTACACGGGCTCGATGGTCGACATCACATCCCCTTTATGAGTTCGTACGTTGAAAATGACCAACCTGCAATGCACCAGATAACCGCACTGGCATACCGCATTGGCATACCTGCATTGAGTTAACTGAACTGATCTTAACTATCATCAAAACACATTGCCAGTGAACCTTTGCCACATACCGCCATTTTAAAATCTCTACAGTATCAGTACGTCCCGGCACACTATACGCCGGCTATTTCCAATATAAAAACGTGTAATGACGAAACGCCTGTGGTTAGATGCCTTGCTCATATGAAATACATTTCGATATTTAAAGCAATGCGTCGTAAATGAGATAAAATGAACATGAACACGATCCGTGGCAAACCGCGGCCAACAGCCGAGCCCGACATCCTCCCTTCCAAGCTAGGCTCACAAATCGGGCTTGCACGTGGCTCTAGCCTCGTTGGCACCTGTCGTGCATCTTCAGGTCACAACTGGTGGTCGCCTGTCGCCGCCGCGGTCCTGCAGCACCCGTCCGAG